CCAGGGTCTGTCACCGTACCAGCCCCTAGAGCTGGAACCCTTGACCAGAGCGCTGGCTGGGGCCCCGGGGGAGGGGGACGCCGTGCCTTGGGCAAGGAGACTGCGGCACCAGGTCGGTGCCTTCTCACAATAGGCCTTCTCACAGAGCGCGGGAGTGGGCCAGCTCGGGTCTCCTAACCACGGGCCGCCAGCCTGTCCTCCAGCCCCTCAGCTAAGCCGGGTCAGCAGCAGCACCGCCGCGATGCTCACGTGGCCAGGGCACCGCCTCAGAGTCCTTCCTCCAGCGGCATGGCCCCGGCTCGTGGGGCACACACTGCACAAGGCCTGAGCTCTCAGGCTTAGGGGGCAAGGAGGAAAACCCCAGCCCAGTCCACAGCTTGCTCAAGGCTCCGCCCCACCCTGCCTTCGCACAGCTCCACCAGCTGCTCTCCCCAGGGGCTGCGAGCCACCCAGCTTGCGCCAGGCTTCCAGCCGGTTCACTCCACAGCCCGGCCTTCAAGTCCTGCTACTACAGCCGCTCCTCCTGTAGGACCAGCTTCCCTTGCGCCGCTCGTCCCACTCGGGTGCCCTCAGCGTCTCCCCCGCTTCCTGCAGCCGGGCCCTTGCGCCTGCTCACACAGCTCCTGCGCACCCAGCTTCGCCCCAAAATCTTGGCCACAGCTCCGCCTAAGCACCTCTCCACCTCGCCGCTCCCATGGCCACCCTTGTCAGGCCGTTCCGGCTGCCCTCTGCCCCAGGGCCGCTCCTGCTGCTTTCCAACCTCTGCGCAGTGGCTCGGGCGAAACCACCCCTCCACCTCCGCCCCCTTTCTCTCCATCACACCGGCTCCAGCTCAGCTCCTCCGCCAGCACGAAAGCCACAGCCACGGACCAGCCCCTCCTTCCGCACTTTCTTAGAGCCGCTCCCCTCCTCCAGCCACAGCCTCAGGCTGCACTCCTACCCAGGCGGTTGTTATGGGTCCCATCTTAAGCAGCCCCGCCTCCGAAAGTGCTGCCCCAATGCTCCCAAAGGACACGCCCTACTACTGCTCCCCCTACAGGCAGCCAGGGACTCAAGACCAGCCCTGCCTCAAACCCGCCCCCAGGTCCTCACAGCCACGCCCCTTCGCAGGCCCGCCCCCAGGTCCTCACAGGCACGCCCTTTTCAGGCCCTGCCCAAGTCCTCACGACCACACCTTCCTCAGGCCCGCCCCAATCCTCACAACCACGCCCCCTCTCAGGCCCTGCTCCAAGTCCTCACAGCCACGCCCTTCTCAGGCCCTGCCCAACTCCTCACGACCACGCCCTTCTCAGGCCACGCCCAAGTCCTCACGACCACGCCCTTCTCAGGCCCGCCCCAAGTCCACACAGCCACGCCCTTCTCAGGCCCCGCCCCAAGTCCTCAAACCACGCCCCCTCTCAGGCCCTGCTCCAACTCCTACAACCACGCCCTTCTCAGGCCCGCCCCAAGTCCTCACAGCCACGCCCCTTCGCAGGCCCGCCCCAAGTCCTCAGGACCACGCCCTTCTCAGGCCCGCCCCAAGTCCTCAAACCACGCCCCCTCTCAGGCCCTGCTCCAAGTCCTCACAGCCACGCCCTTCTCAGGCCCCGCCCAAGTCCTCACAGCCACGCCCTTTTCAGGCCCTGCTCCAAGTCCTCACGACCACACCCTTCTCAGGCCCGCCCCATGTCCTCACAGCCACGCCCTTCTCAGGCCCCGCCCCAAGTCCTCAAGGCCACGCCCCCTCTCAGGCCCTGCTCCAAGTCCTCACAGCCACGCCCTTTTCAGGCCCTGCTCCAAGTCCTCACAGCCACGCCCTTCTCCTGCCCCGCCCAAGTCCTCACGACCACGCCCTTCTCAGGCCCCGCCCCAAGACCTCACAGCCATGCCCTTCTCAGGCCCCGCCCCAAGTCCTCACGACCACGCCCTTCTCAGACCCGCCCCAAGTCCTACGACCACGCCCTTCTCAGGCCCTGCCCCAAGTCCTCAAGACCACGCCCTGCTCAGGCCCCGCCCCAAGTCCTCACAGCCACGCCCTTCTCAGGCCCGCCAGAAGTCCTCACCCTTCTCCTGCCCCGCCCAAGTCCTCACAGCCACACCCTACTCAGGCCCGCCCCAAGTCTTCACAGCCACGCCCTTCTCAGGCCCGCCCCCAAGTCCTCACAGCCACGCCCTTCTCAGGCCCCGCCCAAGTCCTCACGACCACACCCTTCTCAGGCCCGCCCCATGTCCTCAAAGCCACGCCCTTCTCAGGCCCCGCCCCAAGTCCTCAAGGCCAAGCCCCCCCTCAGGCCCTGCTCCAAGTCCTCACAGCCACGCCCTTCTCCTGCCCCGCCCAAGTCCTCACGACCACGCCCTTCTCAGGCCCGCCCAAGACCTCACAGCCATGCCCTTCTCAGGCCCCGCCCCAAGCCCTCACGACCACGCCCTTCTCAGGCCCCGCCCCAAGTCCTCACAGACACGCCCTTCTCAGGCCCCACCCCAAGTCCTCAAGGCCACGCCCTTCTCAGGCCCGCCCCAAGGCCTCACAGCCACACCTTTCTCAGGCCCGCCCCAAGTCCTCATGACCACGCCCTTCTCAGTCCCCGCCCAAGTCCTCACAGCCACGCCCTTCTCAGGCCCCACCCAAGTCCTCACGACCACGCCCTTCTCAGGTCCCAACCAAGTCCTCACAGGCACACCCTTCTCAGGCCCCGCCCCCAATGCGCCCACAGGACATGGCATACTACTGCTCCCCAGCTTCTATGGCAGCCAGTGGCAACCTACCAGCCCCAGCCCAGTCCCTGTCCTCCTGTCCTCAAAGCCACGCCCCTTCCAGGCCCTGCTCCAAGTCCTCACGACCACACCCTTCTCAGGCCTGCCCCAAGTCCTCAAGGCCACGCCCCTCTCAGGCCCCGCCCCAAGTCCTCACAGCCACGCCCCTCTCAGGCCCGCCCCAAGGCCTCACAGCCACACCCTACTCAGGCCCGCCCCCAAGTCCTCAAAGTCACGCCCATTCCTGGCCCCGCCCCCAATGCTCCCACAGGACACGCCCTACTATTGCTCCCCAGCCTCAAAGGCAGCCATAGGCTCAAGACCAGCCCCGCCTCAGACCCCGCCCTCACGTCCTCAAAGCCACGCCCCTTCCATGCCCCACCCCAAGTCCTCACAGCCACACCCTTCTCAGGCCCCGCCCCCAATGTGCCCACAGGACATGGCATACTACTGCTCCCCAGCCTCTATGGCAGCCACTGGCAACCTACCAGCCCCAGCCCAGTCCCTGCCCTCACAGCCTCAAAGCCACGCCCCTTCCAGGCCCCGCTCCAAGTCCTCACAGCCACGCCACCTCTCAGGCCCCGCCCCAAGTTCTCAAGACCACGCCCCTCTCAGGCCCGCCCCAAGTACTCACAGCCACGCCCTTCTCAGGCCCCGCCCCCAATGCGCCCACAGGACATGGCATACTACTGCTCCCCAGCCTCTATGACAGCCACTGGCAACCTACCAGCCCCAGCCCAGGCCCTGCCCTCACAGCCTCAAAGCCATGCAGCTTCCAGGCCCCGCCCCAAGCCCTCACAGCCACGCCACCTCTCAGGCCCCGCCCCAAGTTCTCAAGACCACGCCCCTCTCAGGCCCTGCCCCAAGTCCTCACGGCCACGCCCTTCTCAGGCCCCGCCCAAGTCCTCACAGCCACACCTTTCTCAGGCCCGCCCCCAAGTCCTCACAACCACGCCCCCTTTCAGGCAGTGCTCCAAGTCCTCACCACCACACCCTTCTCAGGCCTGCCCCAAGTCCTCACAGCCACGCCCCTCTCAGGCCCGCCCCCAAGTCCTCAAAGTCATGCCCCTTCCTGGCCCCGCCCCCAATGCTCCCACAGGACACGCCCTACTATTGCTCCCCAGCCTCTATGGCAGCCATGGGCTCAAGACCAGCCCCGCCTCAGACCCCGCCCTTACGTCCTCAAAGCCACGCCCCTTCCAGGCTCCGCCCCAAGTCCTCACAGCCATGCCCCTTCTCAGGCCCTCACCAAGTCCTCACAGCCACGCCCTTCCAGCCATGTCCCCAATGATACCACAGGACATGTACTACTACTGCTCCCCAGCATCTATGGCAGCCCCGGGCCCAAGACCAACCTCACCCCAGTCCCCGCCCCCAAGAACTCAAACCCACGCCCCTCTCAGGCCCTCACCAAGTCGTCACAGCCACGCCCCTTCCAGGCCCGCCCAAGTCCTCACGACCACGCCCTTCTCCTGTCCCGCCCAAGTCCTCACAGCCACGCCTCCTCTCAGGCCCGCCCCAAGTCCTCACAGCCACACCCTACTCAGGCCCGCCCCCAAGTCCTCAAAGTCACGGCCCTCCCGGGCCCCGCCCCCAATGCTCCCACAGGACACTCCATACTACTGCTCCCCAGCCTCTATGGCAGCCAGGGGCTCAAGACCAGCCCCGCCTCAGACCCCGCCCCAAGTCCTCACAGCCACGCCCCCTCACGGGCCCTGCCTCTGACACCCCCCTGTACGTCCTTTCAGCCCGGCCCCTTTCCCCAGCCTCGCCTAAGACACCACCCAACACGTCGTCTCGGTTCCGCCCCCTTTCCCAGCCTCGCCTCACACCCCGCCCCGCACGTCGCTTCAGCCACGCCCCTCGGCTCCACCTCAGGCCCCGCCTGCACGCACTGTCAGCCCTCAGCAGCCTCAGGCCACGCCCCTCACGTCCTCTCAACAAGCTCTTGCACAGCACGCCAAAGACCCCGCCCCGTACGCCACCGCAGGCCACGCCCACAGGCCCTCTCAGACCCCGCCCCGCGCGTTTTCCCAGCCCCGCCCCTCACAAGACCCGCTTCAGACCCCGCCCTGCACGCGCTCTCAGCCCCGCCCACCACGGCCCCTCTCCTACTGCCCCCACGTCCCCGCGCCGGAAGCTGCTCACAGCCAACCAGGCAGCTCCGCCTCCTCGCCCACAGCCTCTCCCACGGCCGCGCCTGCAGAATGCTGACTAGTCCCCTCTCCCCGCCCCTTCCGCTTCCGGCCCCGTTTCCTTCCCCTCCCCTCGGCGGGCCGCTGGGTTCCAACCCCGGCTCTCTCCCCAGCTGCTCCCCGGAACCCGCCTCGCCATCCCAGAGTCAGTGGAGACGCCTGGTGCCCCATGTGAGCGTGCACCAGTGCGTGACCGTGTCCGTGCGTCGCTGCGTGACTGCATGGTTGTGACTGACCCGTCGAATACGTGCGTAGTGCGTGCATAGGTACGTGGGTGTGGGCACTGCGTGCCTTGTACGTAGGTGCGTGGGTGTGGGCACTGCGTGCCTGGTGTGTGCATAGGTGGAGTGGGCACCATGTGCCTGGGACGTAGGTGGGTGTGGGCATTGCATGCCTGGTACGTAGGTGGGTGTGGGCACTGCGTGCCTGGTACGTAAGGGATGTGGGCACTGCGTGCCTGGTCCGTAGGTGGGTGTGGGCACTGTGTGCCTGGTACGTAAGGGATGTGGGCACTGCGTGCCTGGTACATAGGTGCATCAGTGTGGGCACTGCATGCCTACTGTGTGCATAGGTGGGTGGGCACTGCGTGCCTTTTACGTAGGTGCGTGTGTGGGCACTGCGTGCCTAGTGTGTGCATAGGTCGGTGTGGACACCACGTGCCTGGTATGTAAGGGATGTGGGCATTACATGCCTAGCGCATAGCTATGTGATGTGGGCACTGCGTGCCTTGTACGTAGCTAGCTGGGTGTGGGCACCGCGTCCCTAGTGTGTTCATAGGTGGATGTGGGCACCATGTGCCTAGTAAGTACGTCAGTGGGTGTGTGCACTACATACCTAGTGCATAGGTACGTGATGTGGGCACTGCGTGTCTGGTACGTAGGTCGGTGTAGGCACTGTGTATCTTCTGCATAAATACGTGGGTGTGGGTACCGTATACCTGGTAGGTAGGTACACCCCCTTCCCTGGCTCTGGCCCGTCCCTCGTTGACTGGAAGCCGATTATCCAGGGCCTGGCTGGCAGCCTTGCTGAGAACTGCCCTCGCATATGTCCGCAGGCGTGCCCACTAGTGCTTCCACTCCAGGGACCGTTATAATGGTCAGGGGGCAGTGAGCCCAGACACAGCCAAAGGCAGCCCGGGCACGTCGTGCCAGCGCTTGAGTGTCTGCCTTCTGCAGAACACCCCTCTGGGCTGGGGCGCTCCCGAAGCCATCTTGCCTGTGCCCTCCTGCCAGCCTCTCCCTCCCTGCCAGCCTCCCCCTCCCTGGCAGCTTCAGAGCGTGTCCCTGGGGTGTGGCAAGCGAGTCAACTGCCGCACACGCCCTGGCCTAAGCTTGGCCCACTTGGTGGCCTGTGTGCTGTGGGACCCGTGGCTGCTGGGCCCTGCCTACACTTACACACAGGGGCCTGGGCTCCCCCACCTCTGCCCTTTAGCGCTGTGGGCGACGGGGGTGGGGATGGGAGCAGCTTCCTCCTCTTAGATCGGGCTTGCTCCCTGCTGCCTGGCGCTGTGCGTGGTCCTTGCCTCAGACAGCCTCCCCCAGCCGTGATAGCAGGAGCCGCGTGTGCCCCGCATGCTGGCCGCCCAGCTCTTGTTGGCCTGCGGCCTGTGCTGGGACAAGCCCTTCCCGTGCCATTGGACCCCGGTGCTGTCTTGTGCGCGGAGACCTTCTCCCTCATCCATTATGTTGGTGTAGGGCACCCGAGGCAGGCAGAAGGGTGCCCCCTGCTCAGGCCAAAAGCGGGGAGCCCCCTCCTCAGGCCAAAAGTGGGTGCTGCGTGCAGCGCCAGGCAAGAGGAGACGGAGCACCCCGTTGCCTCTAAGGGTGCCTCGGTTCTCTGTGCCCGCACCACACCTGCACAGGTCACGTGGGATTGTGGTGATGTGCCTGGGAAGCTGAGGGGCTGGGCACACCCACGTCCTTGTTGCATCTCTGAGTACAAGTAGAAATGGCTGGACCACGGTTTCTGCACGCAGGCCCCCTCAGAAGCACCTCCGAGCCCAGGGCCGGGGTGACTGTCACCCAGGAGCAGCAGCACCCTGCTCAGGGCTGACAGGTGTGTGAGAGCTCCCTTGGTGAGTGCAGTGTACCCTGGTGAGGCTTTGTGCGAGGCCGTGGGTGGCGCAGGGCAGCGTCTTAGATGCCCTTGCCCTGAGAGCAGCCTCTGCCCCACGCCCTCAGGGAATGTCAGGGCCCACGCCCTTGCTGGTGGCAGAAAACAGAAAGCAGCTTGGCGAGTCTCTGTGTGTCGGAGGAGCAGTGGCTCGCTCGGCTCTGAGATGAACAGCGGTGCGACAGCACAGAGACAGTGAGGATGGGGGCAGGGGAGGTGTTCCGATCCAGAGTGCTCACGGTGCGGGTCGTGGGAGGAGGGTGCTCTGCCCCGTGACGTGCTCAGGCAGTGTCCCGTAGCCGAGGGTGGGTGTGCAGAGCCGCGCTGGGTCAACAGCAGCACGCTGCTGTGCCACACAGCTCTGGGGGCCCTGAAGTCGGAGAACACGGTGTTCCTGGCAGGGTGCTTGTCTCCGAGCGCCGTGAGGATGTGTCCTGTTCCTGCCTGCTGCCTGCTGCTGCCTGCCTGGGACTCGATGCCGCTCCTTGCCATGAGGAAGCATCTCTGCTCCGCCTTCCTCTTCTCACGCTGCCCTCCCTGGGTATGTGGCTAGCTGTCTCTGCATGTGCTGGTTGCATTGGGTGTTGACCCATGTCCTTCCGACGTGGTGGCCTCTGAGAAGGCCCTGTCCTTCCACGCATTCTCAGTGCTCAGGTTAGCCCTTCCAAGTGGGCATTTTCTGAGTGTACACTGGGGCTTACCATGGCCCACGGAGGCCTTGGGCTGGGGATGGAGTTGGCGTGGATGTGAGGCATGTGGCTGCAGAGCGGTGGGGTGCAGGCGACAGGAATGCAGGAAGCGGCCGGGGAAGCAGACCCCGAAGGATTGCCCAGGGAGAAATGGCAGTCTCTTCTGCTCGGTGCAGGAGGGCCTTCGTGGGTTCTGACAGAGGCGTGGCGGGCCCCAGTTGTCCCCGTTCCAAGGTCATGGACAGGCGAGGCAGAGGGCACCAGCCAAGGCCCTGAGAACGCTGCCCAGGTGATGGAGGCAGGCAGCGGATTGTGACCATGGAGGCTTGTGGAAAGGGGTGAGGTCCAGGGAAAGTTTTGAGGTAGCGCCACGTGCCGTGGGGACTGGAAGGAAAGGGAGGGTAGGTGGCCTGTAGGTGTGGAGCAGCAGCCCCAGGTAGATGGTGACGCCACTTAGAGAGGTGGGAGAAGGTCATCTTGGGGTGGCCCCAGATAGGGTCCCAAGTCTGGGCTGTGACCTGGCCAGGTAAGGCTGGGACTGAGAAGGAGCGGCCTGTGCGTGGGGAGGCAGAGCGGACAGCAGGAAGCCCGCCCGGGAGCCTGGTCAGGAGAGTGGAGCGCCACGTCGGGTCTGCAGAACTGATGGCGGTCGACCGTGGGTGCCTGTTGGGACCTGTTGGTTGGCGAGGAGCAAGAGGAGTTAGCGGGAGCGCATGGCCACCCCGTGCACGGCTGCCTGCTGTGCCACGGCTCAGAGAAGGCCGCCTGGGCTCAGAGAAGCACCTGTCTTGCAAGGAGGAGTGCGCAGGCTTCGTTCTCTGGAAGCAGAGTTTCCTGGCGGGAGTCAGAAGCAGCAATGCAGAGGGCGCACAGGGGCGGCACCTGGGCCTGCAGTGAGCTGCAGAGGCAGGATTTGGGCATCCCGGCTGGGCCCGAGAAGCCAGGGGAAGGGGGGTGGTGGGGCAGCTAGCCCCGCAGGCCTGCCTGCAGGAAAGCGGTGAACCCCCGGTAGCTTCCCTCCTGACCACGCCTGGTCTTCTGAGGGCGGGCCCATTTCCTCAAAGCTCCAGGACACACTGGTAAGCTCTTGTCCTGGCTGAGACAAGGGGGGCCGGGCTCGAGCTGGAGTAGAGGCCCATGGCTCCCGGGTGGGGTGGAGCCCTGGGGAGGGGCTGCTGGCCCAGTGAAGAAGATGGCGATGATGAGAGTCGCCACCTTGGGGGCGTGTCTGATCAGAGGCCAGGTCCTGGCTGGGGGCTCTCAGTGCCTGCTCTGCATCCCCCCAGCCACGTGCAGACTGAGGCTGCCAGCCATCTGGTGCTCGGGCGGAGGTTTGGGCTTCAGGCTTGTGGTTCCCTGTCTCTGAGGACTGTGCTGCTGCCTTTGCTGCACGGTACTGCCTTCCACTCAGGGCGAGCTGATGCCATGCCAAGGGACGCGTGGAAGCAGCAAGGCCCAAGGTGTGGGAGTGTGCAATCAGGGCCCAGGTGGCTGTGCTGTCACTCCTCAGCCCCGAGGGGCCTGAGAGCAGATCCTGCTGTGCAAGGCAAGGGTTGAACTGGGGGATCACAGGCCCGGGGCTGGCTCTAGGAGAGGCACGCTCACTGGGGGCCCCTGGTTCTCTTTCTCACTATTCGTTTTTCAGCTCCACCCGCGGGGCAGGTCCTTGAGGGCTGGTGGGGTCAGGAGGCCCAGCTGGTGGCAGCCATCGGAGATGTGTGCTGAGGTGGGCTCCCAAGGCTTTGTCCTCAGCAGCCCTGGGTGTGTGAGGGGGAGCCGAGCAGAACCAGGCCGACCTTGTGGTGGGGCAGAGGTGCCTGGGAGCTGAGAGCATTGGCGGGGAGTGGGGGGGCAGGAAGAGAAGCAGAACCCAGCATGGCACCTCTGTGGGGAGAGGCGATCACTGCAGTGCCTGCCCCTGTTGGCTGTGCAGCCCCAACCCTCACGCAACCAAGGGGCCTGCCTTCCTCTGCGGTTCCTTTGAGCTTGGTGTCCCCGGTTGTAGCATTCACCACGTGCCATCATTCCTGGACCTTCCCTGTCCTGCCCTGTTCCCCAAGCTCCCCAGAGGCCCCATCTGGTGGAGCTGCGTGAGCCCAGGCTCTTGTTCCATACCTGCGTGGGGCGGGCCCTCCGTGAGTATGTGATGGCCAGTGGAAGGCGGCGAGGCGTGAGGTCAGTGCGGCTTCGTGACCAAGTCTCAGGGGAGACATGGAGGAACGATCAGGCTCCCTGGCCGCGAAAATGGCGGGCTGGCATGTGATTCTGTGTTTCCGCAGGCCCCCGGCCCCAGGGCCCTGGGAGCTGGCGAGAGATGAAGTTTGGCTGCCTCTCCTTCCGACAGCCTTATGCGGGCTTTGTGTTAAACGGAGTCAAGACTCTGGAGACACGGTGGCGCCCTCTGCTTAGCGGCCACCAGAACCATACCATCGCCGTCCACATTGCCCACCGCGACTGGGAAGACGTGGCCTGGTGGGAACTGCTGGTGGAAAGACTCGGGATGACTCCCGCCCAGATCCAGGCCTTGCTTCAGGAAGGAGAGAAGTTCGGCCGGGGAGTGGTAGCTGGTGAGTGAACAGGTACCTGAGCTTGGCAGTGGCTTTCCTGGGAACGAGTGGGTGTGTTTGTGCGGCTTGCTGAAGCAGCATGCCTTGGGACAGGTAGCAAGGGCCTCATTTTCCCATTGGAGTCTGACGGGCTGCCTTAGGTCCGTGACCGCATGTGGCACCTTTGTGTGCCTGTGCACGCAGGGGTGCGTGGGAGCAAGTGCAGTGCAGTCCAGAGCATCTCTGGTGCCCTCCAGGGGCAGGCTTCCTGCCGGGCCTCACGGGCCTGCCCCACCTCCAGGGCCATCAGTCTCCTGGGCGCGTCCCCTGGCCTCTCAGTGCGAGAGGTCTCCTCTCTTGCATCACCTGTCACCTATTACCTGCCACCTGCTTGGGCTTCCTGTTGCCTGTTGGCACCCTATCAGCAGTGGCGCTGGGACCCATGCTTCGCTTTCGCGCCCCCAATGAGGGCCGCCTTTTTTCGGGAGCCTTCTGTCTGCCTCGCCCAGGACTCCCGGAGCCCTTGTGAGAATGTCATGCGTGCTCAGTAACAAGGAGCCTGCTCACTGCGTGCCCCTCGCTGACGTCATCTTGGTCTGCAGCACTCCACACCTCCCACAGCCCCGTGGTTATGCAGGTAGGTCCTGTGCAGGGAAGGCAGCGTCAGTGGTGCGTCTCTCTCTCTCTCTCTGCACAGGGCTCGTTGACATCGGGGAGACTTGGCAGTGCCCCGAGGACTTGGCTCCTCAGGAGCTTGTGGAACTGGAAAGTCAGGCTGTCCTGACCAACCTCCAGCAGAAGTACCTGACAGCCATCTCCAACCCCAGGTGGCTGCTGCGGCCCATCCCTTGGCCAGGAGGGAAGGATGTGTTCCAGGTGGACCTCCCGGAGCACCTCATCCCTCCGGGACACAAGGCGTGATGAGCGTGCAGCCCTCAGGAGAACGTTGCTGACGGGGCAGCTCAGCAGCCTGGTGCGGGTTCCTAGCAGTAAGATCAGGTGAGAGCTGCCACTGCGGAAGACTGCTACGCCAGGTGCAGTTCGTATCCATGGACTGCTTTACTCCCATGCAACAGAGGGGCTGGGCTTATCTGAGCTCACTGACCTTGTGTCAATGGTAAGGAAATGTCTTGGCTCGATGCTGATTGGGGTCCTGCTGATTTCTGCACCGTTCAAATAAACGCGCTGAAGATGACTGTGCAGCGTTTGCAGCTCCTTCGTGTGTGTTTCCCCTCTCTTTGTTCAGCACGTGTCTGAACGGCATCCAGGGCTTGTTGTCGGGTGTCTGGGAGCAGGCACTGAACGTGTGCCTGAGAGTGCCCAGCCATTAGGCTAAGTCAGACACAGAGCAGCTGTCCCCCTGGGGCGCTCTCGCCCTGCTCTGAACGTGATCTGGCATCGGGAAGCTCGTGTGTCACGCGTGTCACATGACCAGCTGCTGGCTGCTCAAGTGAAGGGTCCTAAATACAGATACGCTAGAGGGAGGTTCACGGTCTGTCTTTCTTTTTGAAGATTTACTCATTTTTATTGGAAAGGTAGATTTGCAGAGAGGAGGAGAGACGAGATCTGTTCGCTGGTTCACTCCCCGAGTGGCTGCAGTGGCCGAGCAGAGCTGAGACAGTCTGAACCCAGAAGCCAGGAGCCTCCCCCGGGTCTCCCACGCAGGTGCAGGGTCTCAAGGCTTTGGACCACCCTCAATTGCCTTCCCAGGCCACAGGCAGGGAACTGGATGGGAATTGGAGCTGCCAGGACGTGAACTGGCGCCCAAATGAGATTCCGGCACATGCAAGGAGAGGATTTAGCCACAAGTCTACCACGTTGGGCCCCGAAGTTCACTTTCAATAGTGATGGAGTGGTATTCCTTTTATAGCAAGACTCTTTTCTCCAGTGTCTCCTTAGCAATGTTTCTAAGGGGTTGTTCTCTGTGAGGGCTCTGCCCCCTTCCCTGGGCACTGAATGGACTGGCAGATGGGACGGGGCGTTCCTCTTTGCAGGGCCCCTGGGTGCTGGATAGCGACGCTCGGAGATCTGAAGCTTGCTGGCAACACTGAGGGCCCCGAGCAGAGCATGTCATCGCGAGATCCATGAGTAGTGTGATACCCCCGATGCCAGAAGGCAGGCTCTTCTGTCTCCTGACCAACAGCAAGTCCCAGCGTACTGGATCTCTTTGGGCTTCTCTCAGCACTTCCTAGCAAGATCACTTTGCCAAGTATGTGGAAAGCCTGTTGCTTTAAAAGAGAGAAAGAGAGAGAACGACAGGGACCACAACACCATGTTAGAATTTTCTGCTTCCTCGGGCTCCTGCCAGTGAGTTGGTATACTCTAGTCCGTGGTTTGCAGTGACTTGACGTAAAGGTTCATGTGTTGGCAGTGGGGCTCCCTAGGGTGGCAGTACTAGGCGGTGGTGTCCCTTCTTCCGTCTGCTGGTCCACTCCCCAAATGGCTGTTAACAGCAGGCATACACCAGCCCGAAGCCAGGAGCTTCTTCCAGGTCTCCAACATGGGAGCAGAGGCCTAAGTTGGTAGCCTAACATGCTGTGCCACAGTGCCAGGCCCGATGGTGGACCTTTCATAGGTGAACCTAGGAGGAGGTCCTTAGATGCTGGGCAGGTGTCTCCCCACGCCCACCCTGTCCTCGAAGAGAGCGGTGGGACCCAGGCTCTGGCTTCCTGCTCTGCATCGTGACCTCATACCCCTGCAGGAGTCCCCACCGTGACAGCACAGCAGCTGCCGTCAGCCCTGCCCCCAGCCCGCCAAGGCCCAGAGGCCAGGGTCCCTCGCTCCTGAGCTTCCAGCCTGCAAAACCGAGTACACTAAGCCCCTCTATGAAGTCAGCTTGCGTCGGGTATCTCAGTGTAGGAAGGAGAAAGGATTTCATACCGTGTGAGCAGTTAGCAAGAACACAGACCGGGATTCTCATTCATATTGCTTTTTTGAATCTCGTGAATATTTATATTTTATTAGGACTGCAGACAGGTGGTTGTTGGGAAATGATGTGTATTAATCACTATTAAATTGATCACTATGAAGCACTGCTGTGTGAGTTCACAGAGGTGGCTCGTCCCTGACCCGCTCGCAGATGACACGCCTACCTTCAGTGGAGCCCTCCTGCTCTGGGGGCTCACTGGAAGTCTTGGTGTTGAGGGCAGCTACAAGGGTGGAGTAACAGGTGTTGTACAAAGAAATCATGGACTCGTAATCGGGATAGGTTGCGGGGCCGCGGGGTGCTTCTGCAGCGCCTTGCGTCCCGGTGGGACACAGAGGTGCTTGCATGACATTGGGAGTGGTGTCCTCCCCACTTGGGCCACCTGGCTCCTGAGAGGTGTAGATTCTCAGGGGTCGCACTGTGAGATTACTCATGGACCAGATGCCGGAGAACATGAGTGAATGGCCGGCACTGGGTCTCTGGACACTGGTCACTTCCTCCTGGGCCCTCCTTTCCGCTTCTTCGTCCTCTCTGTTGGGGTGCATGCGGGGGGAGCGCCTGGTAGCTAGCTCCTTCCTCTTCTTCGCACTTGATCCGCACAAGGCTTGCCGGCTGAAGCGCCGCTGGCCCCCCTTTCTTTGGATATTCATGAGAAGGGCAGGTTTGTCTCTCTGGAAATTGACATTGCAGTATATCTGAAACAAAATGGAAGATGTTAGTCCTGCGGGGATAAAATTTGTTTCTGGGAAGTGTTGGGATGCCAGGCAGCACCAGCGCACTGAAGGCAAACAGTTGCTAGGTTAAGGCAGTCGTGCATCTACTGGACATTGGCTGGCCTCTGGGAGTCTGCCCCGCCTGCGGAGCCTCTCCCAGCGCACTGTGAGTTCCCGGCAGAATCGACCTACTTTCACGTTTAGACTTTGAGCTTTCAGTAAATAAGGTCTCACATCTAAAGAAGCAGTGCTAGGGAACTAAACACATACAGTGTTGCGTTGACCTGGAGCTCTACAAGGACGTCTGAGTGACAGGATGTGGGAAAGAGCAATGCTTTCTACCTTACCAGCATGCCCCTGTTCTCTGGACCGTGAGCAGCGTTCCTTGGGCGTACTTTGCTGAAGCCGTAGAGGTTCAGCTGACGAATGAAGGCCTTCAGGCTGTCGGTTTGAAAAATCCTGTCTTCCTCTTGCTGAAGAAGGACTTCCCTCTGGAAAAGGTCATCCTCGATGACCACGGCGTCCCCGTCTTTGTTCCAGTGCACAGACTCAAATGCTGGATCCTCTACCACAATCCACAGCTTCCTGGGGAAGGACAGCCCCCAAGGGATGCTGCTGCCTTCCATGTTGATTGCTAGTTGTTCTTGGGAGCCTGACACCTGCAGGCTGGGAGCGGGAGCCTGGCTCATGGCCTCCTCGCCGACCTGGACCAAAGGCTACCTTGAATCCGCGTTTGGAACAAGTGAAGAATCAGACAGCACCTCGATAAGTGGCCCTTCGTTGGCAGAGGGTGTCAGCTTGTCCTCAGACTCTTCTAGATTGCCACCACTAGCCGTGGAGCTAAGTCAGCATTGGGGACATTGTGCACCCAAAGCTGTTGTCACTCCGCTGGCGAGTCGAAAATGGCTTTGGTCTCAAGTGTGCTGCCCGGAATATTCTGTCCACGAGGTTCTAAAGTGTTTGTGGTCGGCCAAGCAGCCGCTGAAGCCCTCATCTTTGTCTTGTGATGTCACAGGGAGGTGCAGAGCCAGGATGCTGAGGGTGGGTGGAGGAAGGGGATAGGTGGATGGGTGCTTGACTTCCCTCTTTTCTCAAAATGTGCAGACTTACAGTTTCAGTTCCCACAAAAGCCTCCTGTCTGGTGACAGGTACATCCTTTTGCCAGTTCTGGCCCTGGATGAGTGGAGAGACTGTGATCCATCCCCGTGGCGCTTGCACTCTTGAAGATGGCGGAGGCTCTCACTGACCTCTCTGATTTGCTCAGCAGCCGGTGCTCAGTTCACTCTGATTTTGGCATCACCAAGACTGTCTGAGTCAGATGGGCCCCTGGGTGACTGACTGCCCACGGTGGTCCCTGCCAGGCGGGCTGGTCGAGACCTTCTTGACACCTCCCCCCACCACGTTCTGTTTGGTGCTTTCAAGCTACTGATGGATGGATCTGCTCAAGTTGCCAACTCCCTACACCTGCCCTGCTTTCTCTTGGGTATCCTCTACCTCACCAGCTTTCTGTTGGTAACTTGCAAGTACTGATGGATAGACCAGCTCGGATTGGCAAGCTCTCTCCCACTGCCAGTTTCTGCTAGGTCGCCTTCCACCCGCCTCCCGCCAGATTTCTGCTTTGCTGTCTTCCGACTGCTGATGGGCTAGATCTGCTCAGACGGGCCCATATGCAGATACGTGTTTTGTTGCCACTCATGCAAGTTGTCGCAGAGGAAGGCTGCACCCGGCCACATTGGGAACACTCTTGGTGCGCCTCAGAGGCGCTCATAATGTCACTCACAGCTATGTTGTGTGGCTCAGTGACCACATCCTCAGCTGTGCCTGGCGTGTGACAGTAAACTCATCTGGCCCTCAGATGTCTGTTTGCAGATCACAGAAAGATAGCCTTTAGTTCCCGTTTCTTCCCCGTAGATGCTATTCTCACTGCCAGGACATGCCCCTCTTTGAGGCCTGCTCTGCACAGACACTGGGGGCAAGTTCCTGCTTGTTTAGGCATGATGATAGCAATCCATGTAGCAAATGTATTTGTGTTTGGAAATCACACTCTGTGTGTGAGGGGAGGTGTGGAAGAAGGTCATTTTCCACCATAGATGATTCGACACAATGGGTTTTGATGGCAGGTAACATTTAGCGATGGTACGCAGCTGAGTCCTGGGGCTGGCGCACGCTAATCCTCCACCTGTGGTGCTGACCTCTCCTATGGGCACCTGTCTACTGGCTGATCCACTTCTGCTCCAGCTCCCTGCCGATGGCCTGGGAAAGCAGCAGAGGGTGGCTCAAGGCCTTTGCACCTGCACCCCCATGGAGATCTGGAAGAAGCTCCTAGCTGCCAGCTTAGGACCAGCCTAGCTCTGGCCATGGCGGCCATTTGGGGAGTGAACCAACAGATGGTGTTATCTCTCGGTTACTCCTCACCTTCTCGCTCTCAGTAATTCAAGCAAAATAAATAAGTCGTTGAAAACAAAAGACAAAGAAAACCTTGTGCCCAGCTCGGAAGTCTAGTGGCTAAAGCGCTTGCTGTCAGCCTTTCATTCAGTCCCTCAGATGCCTACAGCTCTCAG